GTGGGACGGAGGAACCGAGGGGGGCGGCGGACAAGCCTGGGCCCCGTTAGCGGCGGAATCGTCCATTCATTAAGCAGATGGGGCTTGCAGGGCTCCTCCGCTCCATCCTCTCGGCAGGTGAGGGACCTGGGAGCTGGAGCGAGCGGCTCAGAACCGCACATCTGACTGGAAATCGAGGCAGTTCCGGGCCCCCGGCCTGGTGATTTCCCTTCACCTGCGGCGAGAGGAGCATTGCAGAGCCTCCTTGAACCCTGAGGCCCCATTCAGGGCAGAAGCCTCTGGGTTAAGGAAGAGAAACCGGGTTCCCGAGGTCTGGCCCGCCTGGGTAGATGGTCAGTGGTGGAGGCCGATGACCTGACCCCCTGGACAGGTTTCACACTTGCCCTGCCTGGGCCGCAGGCGACCTTATCTCATTCACACCCCTGATCGTCTCACCTTTGAACTTTACCTTTGTGCCATCCCTTGCTTAGGAACACCCCCCCTCCCGGGCCACTTGCATGCCACCGGGTCGAGGTGTGTGTTTTGTGTGTGTGTGTGTGTGTGTGTGTGTGTGTGTGTGTGTTTAGTATTTATTTATCTTTTATGATTAACAAATAAACGTCAAGTATTTATTCTGCATGCCGGGCCATACACCCAGGCAGGGGACTAGGACCCAGCCTGGGGTGCGAAAGACAGGGACACAGCCGTTCTGCCGAGGGGTTACCGGAGCGGGTGCCCATTTCTGCATGGGGAGGCTCTCGAATTGAGTGTGAAGAATGAGTGTAAGTTCCCCCAGGTCAACCAGACAGGGCAGGGCTTTCCAGGGAAAGGCAGGGAAGGCAGTGAAAAGGCGGCAGAATGAATGAATGAATGAATGAATGATGTGTGGGGTTGCTTTGCTTGCAAGAGAGATGCTGAAGGAGGAGCCACAGGCGAAGGAGGGATCTTAGGCAGCCGACAGTTGGAATGGTTTCCTGCAAGTGAAAGTTTCTAAGCAGGGAAGTGACAGGTGAACTGTAGTCTTGAAGATCACGCTGGCATTGGGGTGGGAGGTGCGTGGGGAAGAGGTGAGACCACACACAGGGGGCGGCTGCACTGTCCACGTGCGAGGTGAGGTGTTGAGCTAAAGGAGATGCAACCCAGCTTCAAAGCCATAATTTTCTCATGAGTAACACGAGGACGTCCCTAACTCGGAGTTTGGTTAGGGAAAATGCACGTGTGCGCATTCTAAACGATGTAAATTAAGTTAAAAGTAGTAAATAGTGTCTGTCCATACACCTCTTCCCATCTATATTGTTTTCACTTAAAAATGGTATCTTTAATTTTTAGTTAATAGTCTGTAGCCCAGTGTTCTGTGCCCATAAATATTCTGCTGTGCCATTCTTAATTGGAGGCCTGGCTAGTAAATGTATGATTTCTCCCTTCTGTAATAATAATTGCTAATGTTGATTGAGTGCCAGTTATGGGGTCTGGCACTGATTACATGCATGAACTCATTCAGTCCTCAAAATAAGATGAGAGAGAGCAGCCAAAATGCCCAGCTGAGAAATGGATAAGTGAACAATGAAAGGAAGGAAGTACCGAAATGGAATGTGGAACGTTTATTTTTCTCTAGATAAGTTCTCCGTGAATGGAATGTCACTTGACAATAAAAAGGAAGGAAGTATTGAAGCGAAACTTGGATGGCCTTGAAACCATTATGCTAAGTGAAACAAACCAGTCTCAAAAGACCACATATTATGAAATGTTTAGAATGTGGAAAACTGTAGAGACAACGCAGGTTCATGGTTGTCAGGTGCTGGGGCAGGGGGATGCGGTCGGGACAGAGAGTAACTACTGATGGGTGAGGATTTCTTCTGGGGTGATGAGGATGTTCTAAATTGATTGTGGTGGTAGTTGCACAACTGTGAACGCACTAAAAACCATTGAATTGTATACTTTATGTTGGTGAGTGATAGGACAGTATCTCAGAAAACCACACTGTTATCCCCTGAAATGAAAGGTCATGAGCATACAAAATTAGAATAGAGTCCCCTTCACATCCCTAGTTCTACCCGCAGAACTTCCTCACCACTGATGAGCGCAACTCCTTATAGTTGGCCGCTGTCAACACCTGGATACATATCTTTCCTGCCACTCATAGGTCGTGTGAAGCTAGAAGAACTGTACAACTTTTCCAACTAATTCATCTGTAAAATGGGAATAATAATAATAATGATAGCCGTCTCACAGGGTGGCCGTGAAAATCCGATGTGATTGTGGAAGAACTTGGTACATGGTGACATTTTGGGTAGTGCCATTTGCCTAGGGTGTTTCTGAGGTGACTGAAGTAAGTGATGCATTTCTGAGAAAATCCTCTCACCGTACCCCATCCTCTCATTCAGGTTTTCTGGACCTCAACACTGTTGACATTGTGTGGACTTGGTACTTCTTTGGTGCTGTCTGTGCATCTTTGGATGCTTGGCAGCATCCCTGGCCTCTACCTCCTAGATGACAGTTGCACCCCCAAGTCATGACAACCCAAAACGCCTGCAGACATTTGTCAGATGTCCGCTAGGGCGCACATGCGTTCAGTGTGAGAGCCACTGGTATAGACCTGCTCTGCTGCTGGCTGCCTCTTTGTACCGGACCTCTATCAAACTTTCTGTGACTCTGTGTGCTTCCAATGGAAGTCCACATTCCTTAGGGTAACTTTTAGGGTTTGCTCTGTCTGAGCCCTAGTTTGCCTTAACATATTATTTCCTAAAACAGTCCTGCCTTAGTCAGCCTTAGCCTGTCTGTCCCTCTCACTCTCTCGCTCTGTCACTGTCTCCTTTTAATATTTCCGACAATGAGTGTGTGTACACCTAGAACACATGTCCTCCGTTCTCGAGATCCGGCCTGTCGTCCTAGCTTATTCTACATCGAATCACGGTGTTGCTACTGTGTTCTCTCCCCCCTCGTGGGGTTTTTCACACATGCATGCCTTCATTTCCCTGGAGAGATTACATTTGCACATGGCAGGGATTGGGTCTCAGTTTTGCATCTTCCACAGGGTTTAACAGACTACCATGAGCACAGAGGCTCTTAGTACATGTGGAATGAGTGGATACATATCGCACGATTTTCCCCCTGAAAATGTTACTGAATAGATCTCATGCTTGTTTGTGGCTACATGGTTAGTATATGTCCAGGCAAACCTGCAGCCAGAGTCATGGGAACAGGCAAAATACCGTATTTGCCGGCGTATAAGACGATTTTTTGGCCCTGAAAAATATGCCTCCAAGTGGGGGGTCGTCTTATACGCCGGGTACACTTCAGATAGACTGCCCATAGTGCTTGCCCCGTGCCATAGTGGCCTCCCGATGCCCCCCACTTCAT